TGGGGGGGCCCGCCCGCGCCGGCTCAGCGTCTCCGCAGCCCCCCCCCCGCCTCTGCGGACGGGAATCCGCGCGCGGCCCGCCTCGGAGAGGCCTCGCCACGGCCCGAGACCCGGCCCCGGCGCCCAGCACCGGCCTGGGGCCCCGGGCTCTGGGGAGGAGCCGAGGGCCGGCGCGGGCGGCGACGGCAAGAGGCGCCGCGGGGGCGGGCCGGGGGCGGGCCGGGGCGGGGCGGCGGCGACTGCGGAGACGCGGCGGCGCGCGGGGCGGCGCAGAGCGTTCTCGGCGCGGAGCGGAGCGCGGTGGCCGGCGCGGGGCCGCAGGGGGCGCGGGCCGGGGCCGGGGCCGAGCCGGAGCCGGGGCCGAGCCCGGGGCGGCCGGGGAGCCGGGGCCGGGCGGAGAGCAGCCATGGCGCCGCGCAGGGCCGGGGCGCGCGCCGCTGCGGGCGGCCAGGGCGCCGAGTAGTCGGGCCGGGCCGGAGCGCGGGCGGCGGTGGCGGCGGAGGCAGCTGCGCCCGCGCCCCCCGCCTCCCAGGCCCCGCGCCCGGGCTGCCGGCGATGGTGACACATGCGGCGGCGGCGCGCCGGCGGCAGGACCATGGTTGAGCGCGCCAGCAAGTTCGTGCTGGTGGTGGCGGGCTCGGCGTGCTTCATGCTCATCCTGTACCAGTACGCGGGCCCGGGGCTGAGCCTGGGCGCGCCCGGCGGCCGCGCGCCGCCCGACGACCTGGACCTCTTCCCCACGCCCGACCCGCACTACGAGAAGAAGTACTACTTCCCGGTGCGCGAGCTGGAGCGCTCGCTGCGCTTCGACATGAAGGGCGACGACGTGATCGTCTTCCTGCACATCCAGAAGACGGGCGGCACCACCTTCGGCCGCCACCTCGTGCAGAACGTGCGCCTCGAGGTGCCCTGTGACTGCCGGCCCGGCCAGAAGAAGTGCACCTGCTACCGACCCAACCGCCGCGAGACCTGGCTCTTCTCCCGCTTCTCCACGGGCTGGAGCTGCGGGCTGCACGCCGACTGGACCGAGCTCACCAACTGCGTGCCCGGCGTGCTGGACCGCCGCGACCCCGCCGCGCTGCGCACGCCCAGGTGAGCGCCCGTCGCGTGGCCGCGCTGTCGGGCCGAGGTGGTGGGTCCCAGCTCGCGGCTGCTCCCCCGGGCCCGGCCTGCCCTCCCTGCCCTCTTCTCCTGCCCTCTTGGGCGTCCCCCCCCCCCACCACCTCCCCGCGCCGCAGAGCCTCTGGACCCACTCCTGACCTGCTGGGCGCCCGAGGCCCCCAGTTCATCTCCTTGGGCCCGCTGTCACCCCTGCCCTCTAACGTCGCTCTCACCTCCTCCGTGCCTCTGCTGTCCCCACCGCCCGCCAGGCTCCGTAGTGCCTGGGCTGCCCCCGGTCACCGCCCACTGTCCTCGGACCTGCACCTGCCGGTATGGGTCCGGGCTGGCCTTCGGTGGTCTGGCGGGAAAGCGGGGTCCCGTGCGTGTGTAGGCCACCTGGAGCGTTCGCCTCCCTGCGCGGCTCCCTTACCCAGAGCGGAAGTGAGGGGAGGGCTGGGCCTCGCCCCCTCACCTGGGGCCCCCGCGGGGAGGAGCTGCCGGCGCAGGGGCTGGCTCTGCCCGCCGTGTGCGCAGGTAGAACAAAGGCCGGAGTGTGACCTGGGGCAGGGGGAGGCAGAGCTGCCTGCCGTCGTAGTTGGGCCAGAACCAGGTGCAAGCCTGCTGTGAGAGAGGGACGAAAGCCGGCCAGCAGCAGCTGGTCGGGGGCACCTGTGCAGCCAGACACCTTCCCTGGGGCTCCCTTGTCTGTGCAGGTGGGGCACAGGACTGTCTCGTGTGTGAGGCAGCTCTCTTGGGAATCACTTTGTAGCCAGAACCGGAGCAGTGCTGGGTTTCGGGTGGTTAAAAGTTGGGGTTCTTTTCCTCTTGGCGGCGGTGGTGCTCTATGGGCCCTCTCCCGAGGCTGGCTGGGCTGCGGAGGGCCGGAAGGGACGTCTTCTGTGTGCCTCTGCTTTATCTTCTGTATTGGCCTTAGCACTGCATCTGCAGACAGGCTGGGATTGGGGGAGCTGGTGTGACCCACATCCTGGTTCTCCTCACCGCCACTGTTTGGGGTCAGGAACGTGCAGGGTCTCTGTGCGTTTGTTTGGGGGATACAGCTCAGGTGTCTGGCCAGTTCATAGCTGAACGTGGTCCGCGGCGTTGCTGTGCCGGCTGAGCCCTTTCCTGTGGTCTTTCCCAGACTGTCAGGAAATTGAGGCCCCACAGCTGGGGGTGGGGGGGGGCATCCCACTATTCCTTGTTTCCCAGCCTGCACCCTGCCCCCACCCCAGCAGCTCCCAGCCTGAGGGTGATGTTCCGGGTCCCCCTTAAGGCCACAGTGGTTACAGGTCTGCCTGTCCAGCACCCTTGAAGTATTGCTTCCTGCCCAGGACTGGGTCTGCTCCCACAAGCCCTTTTCTGGTTTAACGCCATCTCTGTTGTCTAGCCACTCTGAGCTAGAATGTGCTGGACCTGGGGCCTTGCAGCCGCCACGCACTCTCCTGCCCACCAGAGCTGTAGGTCTTTGGAACTGGGCACTGACCAACCCCAGTAGGCAAAGTGGGTGCCTCCCTGCCTGCAGGGATGGGTGGGGGGGCACCATCCTGTCTGTCAGAGGGAATTGGTGCAGGAGACCCAGTAGGGGAGAGTGTGCACAACCTGCTCTGGGGGCTGCCAGCAGGCCCAGAGCCTTTGAAGCAGGCTGCCTAGCAGAGGTGGCCTTGGCCCCACTTTTCAGCCATGCCACTCTTACTGCACCCCTGCCTCCTGGGGCTGGTTTTGTCTTTGGGTCACTAGGGGTGAAAGGCCTCTGGCCACCATTCTCTGGAATTTGTCCACCTGAGTAGGAGGCCCAGCTGCCCTCACAGCCAGGAGAGGGAGGACCAGGTGGGGCAGATGGGGCCCCCACCCAGAGTGGGTGTCTGTAGCAGGAACAGAACACGCCATGCCTGGCCAGCCAGATGCCTCTCGCCCCAGGCCTGGAAGTTGCTGAGCTCAACAGCGTGAGGCCAGGTGGAGGAGGGGTTTCCAGGGTCCTCAAGAGACCCTCCCTCTGCTGGCCAATCTGGGAGTGGGGCTGTGCACCAGGCAGGTGACAGAGCTCTGCCCTCTCTGTCACCTGCTCCCACTCTCTTCACTTCTGTTCCAGGCACTCAGCGGGTGGTTTTTGAATGAGCTTCCTCAAGAGGCCAGGGAACCTTGGCTTCGTGCATTTATAAGCCTGTCTGCACTGAGTTTACTTGCTGAATGCTCCCCTAGTCTGGGGCTGGGGCTGGGCCTGGGTGCTGTGGAGGTCCCATCTGCCCAGGGACCCAGCACCTCTCCAAGGCAACAGTGGTAGTGCCGGCATCTGTCTGCTGGATGCCTGGGGTTGCCTGGTGCCTGGTTACAAGAGTCTCAGATGTCACCCTCGCCGTCCTTCCAGCAGGCCCAGGTCCTACCCTCCCCCAACCGTGTGGGTGATAGAGTGACCGCCTGGCTGGTGAACTGAGAAGCAGGTGAACCCGGCTGCGCTAGCTGCCCTGACGGGGCCCTCTGCAGACTGGAGCTGGGGCGAGGACCCTTTCTTCCTCCTCCCTGTGTTCCCGGAGCCAAGCACGCTACGGGGGCTTCAACAACGCCTCCCTGCCGTGGGGGCACTTCTGGAGCCTCTCCACCCAGCTCTCCCAGCTCGGCCGTATTGGGGGGCCTAGGAGTGGGGGGCCTTGTGGTGCGGGAGGTGAGGGTTTTCATGGGGTCTGCGTCTCCGCGCCTCACGTGTCAGCCTAGGTCGTTCTCCGCTGGCCATGCCTTGAGGTGACAGGTGGAGATGGACGGGTGTTCAGCGCCTTCCCGGATCGTGGTTTGGAACTCCTTGCAGCTGTTAGTGCTTCCTGACTTGGAAGTATTGGTAGGTTCCTCTTTTCTTCTGTGTCCGCTGAGGGGGCTGCCACACCTGCTGGCATCAGCTTGTAAGGCCCTCCCCAAGAAGGACTGGCCTTGGAGAGGTGGGGCTGCCCGCGGATGGCCAACTGTTGCAAAGACCCCTCTGGTTAGTGTCTCAGCACCTTGTGCTCCCTGTTGCTGCAGAGTCAGAGGGGTGCTCCCAGAGCCACAGGGTCTCACCCTCATCTTCCTGTCTCCCTGCGGGGGACAGAGAGGAGCAAGGTTAGGGTCTTGCCTAGATTGCCCTGGAATGTCCCTGAAATCGTGTAGCTTTCATTTGGAGCCGCCAAGGGCATTTGGGACCTGAGTGTGGCTTCCAGGCCACCTTTGTTGGAGTCCTGGTCTCAACCCGTGTCTTCTCTGCAGCAGGGCCCCCAGCATCTGTGATGGTGCCCTGTAGAGACTGTGCTTCTTGCAAGAGGCACAGAGCCAAGGAACCCTGGCGTGGATGGCATGTGTCCTCTCAGTCCTACGGCTTTGTCTCCGGTCTCGCACCCTCTCCACCATCCCGAAGTCCTCTCTGGTTCCAGAAATCTGTTGGTGCTCTTGGCTGAGCCTGTGCTGTCCCCTGCCCAGCATGCCTGCTTCTCCTCCCACTGCTTTGCCAGCTCCTCCTCTCCTTTCAGCCTTAGCTCTGCTGCCCCTTCCTCCAGGAAGCCTTCCCTGGCAGCGTCCTGTTGCCTTAGGTGCCCTTGACTGCTCTCCATCTGCCATCCTGGCATGTCCACAGCGTGTTGGCACTGGCTGGATGCTGAGCGCCTGCTGCCCACATGTTGGCACCAACCAGAACATTTTCCTGGTCCCACAGCCTCTCCAGGAGCTGCTCTCAGCCCCTTCTCCCAACATGTCTCTGGCGAGTCCAGGTCAGGGAGCCAGCCTTGAGTGCAGTGCCAGTCCCAGAGAAGCTTGGGGACTCCGACCAGGTTGGGGCTGACTTAAATTGGAGCGTTTCTGTGGTGCTTGACAAGTTCCAAGTTGCCTTCGTGATCACTTTGTTCTGTACGCTCGAGGGACAAAACCCGCATTAGACCGCAGAGAAGCAGATGTTACAGAGCCCGCGCCTGGGACCCGGGAGCAGGCCCGGCCACCAGAGGGCCTGGTTGAGGTGCCACCATGGCCTGTTTGTCCTGGGGAGGCCTTGGGCTGTGATGAAGGGAATCTGAGGTCAAGCTGTTTAGAATTAGATTTTCAGTAAAAACAAAAACAAAACGTCTTGTTTTTAAGCAAATGCATAAAAAGGCAAGCTTTCAAATGGCATACTGACCATCACTTTTTTATCTGTGCGTGTGAGGAAGACTAATTGAGCTAACATCTGTGCTAATCTTCCCCTTTTTGCTTGAGGAAGATTGTCGCTGAGCCAACATCTGTGCCGATCTTCCTCTTTTTGCTTGAGGAAGATTGTCACTGAGCCAACATCTGTGCCAGTCTTCCTCTGTTTTATGTGGGATGCTGCCACAGCGTGACTTGACAAGCAGTGCCAGGTCCATGCCCAGGATCCAAGCCTGTGAACCCCGGGCTGCTGAATCAGAGCACATGAGCTTAACAGCCACGCCTCCAGGCGGCTTTGCCGAGCGTTGTTGAAGTGGTGCCTGGCTTGTGGGATCCTCGTGCTCTGTAACTTGTGTTGTCTTTACAGCACCACAGAGCTTCCTGTCCTTCCAGGCACTTCACCGGTCAAACCTGGGGCCTCGCACAGGGCGCTGGACCACTGGACCGTGCCGGCCAGCTCTGCTCTAGGGTCTTGTCTGCTCCTGGGTCAGAGAGCCTTTCCCAGTGGGTATAGCTCGCAGCCCTGGGACCCAGGGGCCAGTGCAGCCCATCATCTCTGGGTGGGAGGTTTGAGAGAGCTGGGTGCTGCCCTTGGGGAGTGGCAGATGGTGCGTGAGGTCCTAGCTTTGTCGTCCTTACAGGATCCTGAGTCTTTCTTTCACATCTCTCCCCCCCACCCAGTTTATTTGTTATTGTTGTAAAGTAATGATCAGGGTAGATAATTGGGAGGAAAGTGCAGATGAGAAAAGCAAAGTCACTGTATTCTCCATGCATACTTTTTTTTTTTACTATAAAATTGAAACCATAATATAAGTTCTTCGTAAATGCTGTACACGTCATTAAAAATTCAGTCCTTG